AAAAAAGCCATTAAAAGTTTACCCAGACCTGCCCAGTTGAGGATGGGCCAAGGTGATCCAATTTTCCATCACTGAAATGTTGGCAGTGTCTTTTGGGGAATATAACATGCAGAGGGATTTTGTAGTCCTGATGGTTTAATATGGGGGGGTGTTTATAAGTGAAGGAAAAGGGGTCCGAATTTCAGTGCAGACATTGATTCCATTTATACAAATCCCCAGGGGCATTATCACCTCTCTTTGCAAGAGCTGAAAGAATACAATGGACCCTCATGGGTTATATTTTTATACTTTTTAAAATTTTTATATATATGCACATATGTAAAATATATGTCACTATAATATATATAAATTTTATATATATGGGCCACTGAGACTGTCTCTGGACTGTGCCCAGGATGAGAATGGAGCTGCACTGTCCGATGAGGACCTGCGTGCCGAGGTGGACACGTTCATGTTTGAGGGCCATGATACAACAGCCAGTGGGATTGCCTGGCTCTTCTACTGCCTGGCATCACACCCTGAGCACCAGGCACGGTGCCGGGAGGAGATCCAAGGGATCCTGGGGGACCGGCAGACAATTCAGTGGTAAGGTTGCACTTTTCCTCAGCTGGTAACTTTTATCCCACCGCTGCCATTTCTAAGTGAGCAATGTCTGCAAGGCTCAAAAGCTGGGGTGCTAAAGGTTGCTGCATGCACAGGGACTTCATAGGGTGCAGCAAATACTGCATCCTTCAGCTAAATCTGCCACCCTGGAAGGGACATTCCAGATGCCATACCAAGTCCTGGGCCACCAACATTGCTCTTTGCTCTCTCCTGTTTCATTGCCACAGGACATCATAGTCACAGCTTTTCACCTTTCGCTGTCACTTTGCACTTGACCTTGTTCAGATAAGGCTGTTCAGAGGTGTCCTGGGGTCTCCAGCTTGCAGCAGCCTGTGGTTGGACATTGTGGGTCCCTCTGTGTACCCTGTCTGTTGCAAGGGGATCTGCCCAGGGGGTTGATGGTTGTGGGGCAAGTGGCCTCCCAGCATGGGGAAGTGGGGGAGTGTGGGGCTCAGCCTGTCTCTGCCCTGACAGGGAGGACCTGGGCAAGATGACTTACAGCACCATGTGTATCAAGGAGAGCCTTCGCCTTTACCCACCAGTGCCTGGGGTGTCCCGGCAGCTCAGCAAACCCATCACCTTCTCTGATGGACGCACTTTGGTTGTGGGGCAAGTGGCCTCCCAGCATGGGGAAGTGGGGGAGTGTGGGGCTCAGCCTGTCTCTGCCCTGACAGGGAGGACCTGGGCAAGATGACTTACAGCACCATGTGTATCAAGGAGAGCCTTCGCCTTTACCCACCAGTGCCTGGGGTGTCCCGGCAGCTCAGCAAACCCATCACCTTCTCTGATGGACGCACTTTGCGGTCTGTAAATTTTGCTCTCAGGCATCAGCTGCATCCTCACTGCCTGCCACAGAGAAAGGCAATGGTCCTGCCTCTGTCACCTGTTCCTTGCTGGCACAGATGCTCAGATATGGCTGTGCAGGTGGTGGCATCCCACTGATAGAATGAGGCCTGGACTATACAGCAGCATCCCCATGACATCTCTCCTGCCGCCATCGCTGTAGGGTGGCTGTGCCTGTGCCAAGTGCCTTTTTTTTCCTGGCCAGTGGTTTATCCATTTTGGCAAATGGCACAGCAAGGCAAGGAATGGTCCCATCCCAATTTTCATATGGAAATTGTCCTGTGCTGTTGCTTTACTTCTGATTTGGCACAATATGAGGCAGTGTTGGTGAGGGTACAATGTGCCTACAGTGCTGGAGCCTTTCTCATTTCCTCTATTTGCTTACAATTAAACAAATGAAAAATGTTTAGCTTTCTCTGAAGCCAATGACAAATCCTTCATAGGTTTCCAATTGCCAGATAAGACTATGATGATTTAGGCAAACCTTTCTGTGAACATGCTGCAACACCCTTTAGTTTCTTTGTCAGTGAGCCTTTTTCTCCTCTTCAATTGCTTTACAGGCAGCATTGCTGCGATAAGCATTTTCCTCATTCACAGAAACCCTGCAGTATGGAAAGATCCTTTGGTGAGTTTTCTTTTGGCCTTCTAATTTTTCCCCTTTATGCTGTACCTCTTCCCATCTCCCCATCACATGTTAGCAGGAAAGCAGAATTCTCTTTCCAATGAGGTTCTTCAGAAATTAAGGGGTTTCAAATTTCTTGAAGGTACCAGTCAGGACTGACTGTTGTATGAGGAACCGCTGAGGGAATTTGGTTTGTTTAGCCTTGAGAAGAGGCTCAGGGATGACCTCATGGCTCTCTACAACTACCTGACAGTGGGGATGGTCTCTTCCTGCCATGCCTGCAGTGAGAGGACTAGAGGGAACGGCCATAAGCTGACACAGGGGATTCCAATTAGATATTATGGAAAGTTTTTTCACTATTAGGGTGGTCAGGCACTGGAATAGATTGCCCAAGGAGGTGGTGGAGTCACCATCCCCAGAAGTGTTTAAGAGGTATCTGGATCTGGCACTGGAAGATATGGTTTTAGGGGTTACAGCAGAGTGACAGGTTAATGGTTGGACTTGATGATCTTAGAGGTCTCTTCCAACCTTGATGATTTATGATTCTATGACTGCATTCCATAAATAATCACTTTTTCTTGCTGCCTATTCTTCTTTTCCAGGTGTTTGACCCTTCGCGGTTTTCTCCGGAGAACATCTCTGGCAGGCACTCTCACGCGTTTCTGCCTTTTTCTGCTGGAACAAGGTAAAGTGAATTGAGGTAAAGTGAACACTGAAAGAGTAGTGGGCAGAGACCACCACCTGCAGTCCTGGCCCTGCAGTGTTGAACAGTTCATGAGTATATAACAGGTGTTTGTGCTGCAGAGTGGTTCTGATACCAACAGGCAAAATGGGAAGGCAACATCACTGAGCCCCTTCTGGGGCCAGAAAACTGGGTACCAAAGCTGTGGAGCATCCTGCTGGCATTGCATTCTCAGCCTGAAGCATTCTGAGCTCACCTACTGTCCTCTCCTTGATGCAGAGAGTCCATCCTACTCTCCCACCCTTTGATTCCCCCTTCTCCTGTGCTCCCAGTCCTTCCCTTTGCCCTGTATTCACCCCACCAAGACAAACACATTACAGACCCTCCCTGCTTGGAGACCCACTGCCTCAGCTAGGCTGGCCTCTTCTTTAGTGTCTCCATCTCCCTCCCACTCTGTGGTCATGGAACCCACATCCACGAGCTCCTGATGCTTTCCCATATTCCCCTTGCTCAGCCTATGCCCCTGCTTTTGCTACCCAAAATACTGCCTGGAGCCCCCCAGGCTGCAGAGGGGAAGGTTGTGTGAGAGGTCTGGGATCAGCTGCAGGGATTTGCTGTGCCCAGCGCTGAGATGGAGTTGGCTGAGCTGCTCTGTTTTACCGCAGGAACTGCATCGGGCAGCAGTTCGCCATGAACGAGATGAAGGTGGCACTGGCTCTGACCTTGCTGCGCTTCGAGCTCTTGCCTGACCCCACCAAACCTCCCCTCAAAATACCTCAGATCATCCTTCGCTCCAAGAATGGGATTCACCTGTCTCTAAAGAAAATCCGCTGATTCTGGAAAATATACTGCCTTCACCAGAGGGAGGGACCAAGCAGATGATGGGACAATGTTTCTCTGGGGCAAAAGTGCAGGGCAGGATTTGGGGATGAGGATTCCTGATTTCTGTGCTTCTTTCACCAGCTGAAAAAACCAAAATACTTTTTCAGGCTGGGCCCAAGTAGCTGGGATAATGTTGCACAGCCCCATCTGCTCCAGAGCACCGAGCTTGGAGCAGCCAGGCATGGCCATGCCTATTTGGTGTCTGTCCTCTTGCTCTGCCATAAGGACTGGCCTGGCCTGGTCTGGGAATATCTGCAGGTCCCACCAGTTTCCTTCTTACCAAATCCTGCCTTCACACTCATGTGCTGGCTAAATCTGTGACCATTTCCTGCTCAGTTGTCAGCACTTTCCTCAGTGCCTAGAGGTCAGTCATCCTCTTCTGCAGCAGGGACAGCCCATGGCACTCCTCTGTCTCACTTCTCACACTCAGTGTGCCTCTGTTTTGTTGAAAGCACTGATTCCAGTTTGGGCTCTGAAATTCTGCCCAAATTGCAAAATATCCTGTAATTTTTGTCTTAATAAACCAATAATTTTTCCTGCAACAGCAGCTGTGTTGGTTATATTGCTGATGCTTGCCTGCTTCATCACAAATGCAGTGTAAAGCCCCTTTACAAAGGAGAGATGGAGAGGAAGCCCATGAGCAGGAAGAGACCACCCTGGAGGTGTCCAGCCAGGCCAGACAACTGCCCATGGTTCTCCAGCCACAGCCAACAGAGCACCTCCTTCCATGGGCAACTCCTTAACAGATGTCCAGTAAGCAATCTTCAACTGAAGTTCTGATAGTTAGAAAGGGATTTTTATATATTTTTTTAGGATTTTTAATTTTCCTAAGCAGATAAGGGTTGCATGCTTCAGGTACACTTGAGGACACTAGCAAGCTGTCCTCTGCCTCTGCAGGAATCATTATGAGGGTAGAATATCACACATCAAACTGCGAAATCACAAATGCTGCTTTACAATTATCATTGCAGTGATGTTGACCGTGGTTCCAGCGTCATGAGCAGGCTGCTGTGCAGTAAGACAGCAGCTGACTTCCTACAGCTCTTATCTGCAGAGATTAGGCAGATAGAAAGAAGGAGGGAAAACAGAAGGGCTTTTTTGTGGGATACACTGCAATACTGTTAACACTGTGAGTCCAGTCACTGTGAGCCCCATTAATGGAAGGTTTATATCAAACATAAGGTTTTGTACTATTTTAATTTTGAATACACAAAGGGTGCCCATGATAAATAATTGAGATAATATCAATAACTTGTGTCATCTCTCAGTCAGCATATCACCAACCCTCTGCAAATGTCACACCAAAAGCATCCTCAGAGCAGCTGCAATGGAGAAGCTGCAAAAGCCACTATATTCTGCAAATAGGGCTGCCCATGCACCTCCTCTGTCACATCACCTGTGTCTTCTCTAACCACAGCTGTATCCACAGCTGCCACCAAACACCCGCAAATCCCTCCTGTGTCCTCTCCACTTACCTCTGTGCCAGCACATCCAGCAACCATGGGTAAAACTTGCCTGCCATCTCCGTATCTCATGTTCTCCAGGCAACAAGTTGTAAATTAGTTCCTCCTATGTGCAAAACCTCCAGATTGCCCTGAAGCAGCTGCTGTGACTCAGCAATACTCCATTTCAGAAGAAATGGTAAGAGAAAGAAATCACCTGCCTGCATGGATAACACAAAGAACATGGCTGCATCATCCAGCTTCAGCCTGAATTCAGTTACAATTTTGTTTAGCCCAAATACATACAGGTCTGGATTTGCATCCATAGCTTTGAGGGTCACTCCATATCCTGAAATAAGTTAAGGGAAAGCAGTGATTTGTCTCCCCCTGATGAGATTCTGATCCAGGAGGAAGGCAGTAAATGCACCTGGCTCAAAGTTGTACAGTCACAGTCTTTAGTGATATGGCAAGTAGTAATCTGATAAAAGTAATATTCTTTAGTTATGTTGAATCATATTCCCCTTCCTTTGTAATGAATTCTACCAAAAGAACAAATCTAAACTTACAATGAGAAGATGTAGTTTGAAAATTCATTTATACACAAAGGCAGTGCTTGTCAAATGGCAGCTCAGTCAGCACAGTCTTAGTTGTTGCCTTCATTTATGCACATAAGAATAATAATTCTAGAAAGTAAATAATAAAATAAGATTAAATAAGATTTCTTAGTAAATGTGCTTTTCCATATGCTTTTTCATCTCTACTCCCTGCCCTTCAGAAATGCTGGTTTTCCGCCTATGCCAGGAAAACTGAATCCCAGTTCAACTTATTTTCACTTATGAGTTAATCCAATTTATTTCCACCTGAGCCAGCTCCTCTTGAAGAATGAATGGTACAACACTACAGCAGCTGCCTTGCAGGGGATATGCTGGGGCAGCCCAGGAGAACACCTGCATGCTCCAGCTGCCTGTCCCCTCTCCAGACACGAGGTGCAGCTCTTGAGTTGAAATCAGAATTATCCCTGCAATGGAGAGAGACAGAGTATGCTTATCAAAATGGAACATGTGATAAAACTATGAGCCATCACAAGTTCTTAGGAGGGCTCTATCAGGATACAAAAATTATCTTGATAGATTGAAAAACTGCTGCAGTGAGTGGGGATATGAGTCCATAAGCACAAGAGCAGGCACAGGTATTGCACAAAACCAAAAGAGGAAAGGACTGATAGGCAGCAATCTCTCCAAAAGGTATTTTGTAGATAGGGAGGCTGAACAGGCAATATGAATCAATAATATCCTGATGTTGCAATGCAAGCAAACATCATACTTGGATACATAAATACAAATATTTCTCAAAAAATGTTCACTTGCGTCTCTTCCACCAGATGAAATGAGACAGTGTCCTTCAACCCTGGTTAGAGATTTAAGTATAAAGGCAACTGCATTTACTCCAAAATGTAGCTTGCTAACATACTCTGATGATCAAAGTGAGACAATTTTTACTCAAAATAACCGAAGCCACTAGAAGCAAATTACATAAGTCTCTGTATCAGATGCAATTTTCTTATAAAGATAAGATTTGAAAAAAATGCCATCTACAAACGAGTGGATGGACCTTGGCATTCAAATGTGTAACATTAAAGCAAGAGCAAAGGCTGAAAACGTGGTGCACACACTGAAAAGGAGTAGGCAAAAGGGGATCAAACTAGGCGAAACTTGGCATAACAGTCCTCATTCAAGTAAATGGCAGATGCTAAATTGCATTTAGGTAAATACAGATTACATAGCATAAAGCACTTCCTAAGGCTTCTTAAGCCCTGACATAGGTTGCAGGGGGAATCTGAATTTTCACAGGTTTTTAAGACCTGTCTTTGCTGCATAATCCAAACGGCTGAAGGAGGCAATGGATGTGGTGTAAGGCTGGGGCAGGCTACCTCTGAGCTGGTTTTTGGGAGTGGACTGAATGGGGGGTACAGAAAAAGCTGCACATGCATGTTCGTGGCCCTAGTTTGGTAAAGCCTGGCTGCTCCTGTCCTCACACTGTTCAGTGATTACCCCACCTTGTGACTTTCAGGATCACTAAAATTTGCCTCTTAATATCTGAGGAGAAAAAGGAAAGACACTCTGCAGCATTCTATGCCCCTCTCTGTGTTGTGCTTGTGGCTTCTTCACACAGGAAGGGGAGCAGAGCCTGGTTCCTCCTGCAGCCATGTACCCAAACTCAACATCAGATCTGCTCTCAAAGTTCTCCTTGGTGCTAATACCCTCTGAGGCCACAACCTAGAGGCACATTCTTCTAAATAATGCCATGCACAGCAGCACGGTTCCCAATTTTCCTAGCCACATGGGCCAGCTCAACATGCCAGGCCAGCCAGCCTGCATCCCACATCCTGCATCCTGCATTCCATATCCTATATCCTGCATCCTGCATCATCCCACATCTTGCATCCCTCATCCCATATCTCATATCCTGCATCCAACATCCTGCATCATCTCACATCCTGTGTCCTGCACCCCACGTCTTCCATGGCTGCTCTGCTCTGAACTGGAGAGCTGGGCTGAGGCTGCTACAGGACTTCTTGGGTCACTGTGTCCCAGTGCCAAAGTGAGCCAGAATGGGATTTCTGAGAGCGTTTCCCCCCAGTTACCTTTCCCCTTCTAGATATTAGAAACATGGTAGTAATAAAAAGAGCTGATCACATGGGATGTACCACTCAGAGCAATAAAGACAGTCAAGGACTAGCTGCAGAGAGGTTACCTCATTCTTTAATCCTTACCTACATTCTGCAGAAAGGGTAATTGCAAAGATGATGGGCTGACCTTGGACTGCCTGATTCAGTGCTTCGGATAACTAATTTAACAAGCACCCATTGGAGGAGCTATGTGGGCTGCAAGGGGCTGGCTAAGTTTTTGTTTCAGTTAAGAGATCTTGCTGCAGCTTGGACTTCCAACAGTGGCAGAGCAAAGATACCACCTACTCCCACAGTTATTCCTTTCCCATCATCACCACTGTGCAGCCACATCCCAGTCTGGTGAAGGCTGCCTGTCTGGTGGTGGCACTTCCTCGGACACTGCTGGGCTTGATGGAAGGAACCAGTAAAACCAGCAGGGAGAGCAGTTTGCTCACACCACCGGGAATGCAGTCCCTGCGCAGGACCCACGCTGCTTTCCAGGCAAATCCATTATCAGATGGCACCAGCAATTTCCATCTAAACCCCACTGGGATTTTACACTGAAAGCAGCCTGTAAATTAAATAAGTATTGCGACATATTTGTAAGACAGCTGTATTAAATGCTTCCAGATATACATTCATCCTCGAGACACATGTGGTCAGATGGGATCCAGGCAGCTTGCATTACTCTGCAACAGCGGCTGGGCTCTTGCCATGATTTTCTCATCTATCATGTGTTTGGAAGTTTGAAATGTTATTATTTTTTTTGGCATTACAGCTACATTTCATCTGTCAGCACTAAGCACTGCAGGAACACACAGGGACAGATGGGCCTGGACTCTTCTTCCTATCCGAATAAACACAGGCACAGCCAGGGAAAGCAGCTGCTGCAAGGTCATGCTCTGGGGCAAAGTGCTCGTTTGGCACCTAAATTTCACCTGCTCAGTAAACCAGTTCTTCTGCAATGAATAATGTATGAGTTAAAGCAGTGAAGAAGATCCTTTCTTTCTTCTGTTTAGATGCCTAAAGTAAGTAGAGAAATTCCCAAGACCCCAAAAGCAACTTCCACAAGCTGCTGTGCCCATGGTTGTGGTACAGGATGGAAATTCTTCAGTGTGAAGGGTTCCTTTTTATGTTGATAGCCCAAGCTGTTGTGGCCCCACTGCCATCATGTGGACATTCACAGCATCAAGCCAACCCTCCAGAGGCTATCTGCAAATGTTTGACAACCTTCCAAGTGTCCTTTAACACCCAACTGCAGCTTCACCAGCCTCAAATATCCAGAAGGTTAAGCCAAGCCTCTGTTCACCCTGCCAGCATCCCCAGACTCCTCTGGCTATCAGAAAACCCTTGTACCTGCTTTTTTGTGCTGAGACCTTCATTTTGCAACCTTCATTTTCAGGACTCTGGGAAGCAACAGGGCTATAGATTCTCCTGGTGCTAACAGATTGTTCTGGCCTTGTCCCAAGCCCGTACAATGACAAAAACAGTGCTGTTCCCTTTCACTTTTGTCCACTTTCAGCTCTGCAGCCACTTCACTTTCTCTTTTGAACTCCTATGGTTTCTTTCCTGCAAAAAACCCTGAGTTATCCTCCTAACACTGTGCTAAAGAGTGCTCATGGCCCCTTTCTCTGTGAAACCTCTGATATATGTTAGAAAGGTGCTCTGCTCCCCTCCAACAGTGAATCATAAAATGCAGTCTCTTAAGGCTAGATTAGGCACCCAGTGTTGCTATCACCCAAGCTCAGATTCTTGCTCCATATACCCAGAAATGTGGGTTTAGCCCCTCTGTCCCCTATGCTCCATATGAGCTGAACACTTGATGTCTCACTTGACCTTCAAGACAACCCATATCCCTTGTCTCCATGCTCAACAGTTGTTACTAGTTATTATATAACTATAAGGGAGCCAGATGGGTAAAAATCTACCTTGCTCAATAACCCATGATCAAAACCACTGTCTAGGGACTTTGTCACCACCGAGAATTTCTGTGCTGTTATAAAAGTTTCACATGCAGCTGCACTAACAACTCCATACACTGGCCTGGCACCTCCACCCATGGGTTTTGGGGCATTTCTGAGCTATTTTGTAGGTAATTGGTGAAAGGTGCTGGATCCGGATCCGTCAGTCTGGTAATTGGATAGGTACCATAGGAATCCCCAAAACAGCTCCACTGGCACTGGCCAAAGGCTCAGCCCCCAATCTCCCCATTTTCCTTATGTGCACCTTCAAAGCACCCAACTACCCAACATCATTGGATTTATGAATGTGCTGCAGGTCTTCATATGAGGGACCCTTAGCAACAATCCTACCTTCCAATGCCCTAAACCCCTTGGAATTCCCCTTCTCACAGAATCACAGAATCAATCAGGTTGGAAAAGACCTCTGGGATTATTAAGTCCAACCTATGAACATATTCCCCTCTGTCCCATCCATAGCCCCAGGCAAGGCCAGACAAAAGGCTGATGGTCTGCAGACTGTTTCCTAGAGAAGGTCTCTGAAAGAGCCCAAAGGCCCTTTTAGAGCTGATTGAGAGGAAAAAAAGCCTGGAGGAGGGAACCGCTTTGGGACAGAGTCTGCAATACACTGGAGATGGGGAATGAGGTGTCTCAGCACAACCCCTTGAACCCAACTTCTGAGTTAATCCCAAGCAACACAATAGTCCTGTCCAAACTCTCTCTGTAACTTCATCTGATAACAAGAGAAACCACTCTCTTCACCTGCCCAGTTTATTTAGGTCAGCCCCACATTTTGAAGGCAGATTGCAAAGCTATAGACCTGAATTAGACAGCCCACAAGTGGGTCCTTGTGCTGCGTGTTCGTCCTTCTCCTCAGGTAGGTAAGAAACATCAGCAGGAGCCTTCCAATTAACTGCAACCCACACACTTCACAGCCAGCTGGCCAAACAGCCTGCCCTGCCTCCTCTCCGGATGGGAAGCCCATTAACCACAGTACTGAAGGACAGGTGGAGAATCATAGGAAGAGCTAGAGGTACTAGATGTGTCTTGTACACCTTTCATAGCTGTGAGCTCCCTGGAGTCAGATGCTCCTGCTTAGGAGTGTGAAGTTATCATGGCAAACTGGGTCCCTCATGCTCTGGTTGCAGCCAAAGCCTTCCCTAAGAAATGCCTAACCTGACAGACTGCAGCCTTCTGCCTCCTAAAGATCAACTTTTAACTCACTGAACTTTCACACAGATCCAGCTGGCTTGGCATACCGAGATACACTAATTTTCATTAAGATAGCCAAGTGTGTTAAAAGATAACACTGTTCAGTGCCTGCCAAGGCAACAAAAGGAGCATGCCAGCAATCAATAATGAGCAAACAGGTTGACTAATTCCAGCCCTTCCTCTTCTTCCCAGTCTGAAGAGCATGAAACACCATCTTAATGTATGTTACAGGAGTCCAGTTCAGGGGACAGACACATTGTGGAGCTGAAGAAAAATGCTAGGATAGGGCTTAAGCAGTCAAAGCACCCAAGTCTGTGGAGATAAGAGATTTTCAGCTGTTGTCATTAACTCTTTCCAATGCACCTTCTTGTCATGGTAACAAAAGCCCTGTGCTATGTGAACAGCTGTAGTGTTCATTGGGTCACCTTATCCCAGCTGAGGAACTTGTGCAATCACTATTTCTAGGGAAGTGTCAAAGAAACCTATGGCACAAACAACACTGGCAGACTAGCAAAAAGGTATTTACAGCCCAGGAACAGATTAAGTAGAGGTAACAGAGCAGATGTATTTCAAGATGAAAGTGTTTCTGGTCTTCCACTACCTGCATGCAGGAGCAATGGACAGATCTTGACTTCAGCTCAAACTTTAGCAGGCATTTGGACACACATGGTAGGAGCTGGCTGTTTGCCAGCTGACGTGCTCAGTGCCTTTAGTGCTCTGGGTACCCACAATGGCATGGGTCTCAATGTCAGCACTCTTATCCCATCTTGTGTGGAAATGTCCAGGCTGGCAACTTCAAAACTGCCCCAAAGTCCTTGCATATGGGGCCTTATAGAGGCAGCTCCCAAGAGAGGTTGAGGTCTCAGAGAAGTTTCATGTGGAGTTGCTTTAACACCAGTTCTTTCCCCGGAGTGCCCTGCACCACACCTAACCAACTCTGCAGCCTGCAGGTCCAGCTTTCACTGCTGTGTACCTTTCCATTCTCCACCCAGCCTGGCACATGTCATGACTTACCTGCAGTGAGCAACATATCACAAGGGATGAGCAATCTATCAACAATCCCCTGCAGGGGATCATAGCAGCCAGATACTGAGACTGAAATATCCATGGTAATGCCTATACTTACAACTTCATCTTCATGATCATTAATTAATAAATAGGCCACAAGCTAGCTGAGGGAAAAGTCATTCCACTAACTTTCACACATTTTTATAGAGCCAGGTAATTCCCAAACAGTGGGTCATACAACACTTGTTTGAATATATTTCTGTCTAAAAAGTTTAAATATTGTAATTGGGGCTGTGCAGATTCACTTCAGCCAACAATCTCGATGTCTCTGTTGCCATAAAAATGATATATCTGAATAATGGATATCAGATAAACAGTACTTTTTTTTACAGTAAAATTACTCTAAAAGCAGAGAACATGGGTTTAAGTTGGACATGGCATATTTTAGACTAAAAACTAAAGGAAAGTGCCCAAACATCAGAATTCCTTTGCCTCAGAGAATTACATTGAAGAGAACCACTCACCAAATTCAGCAGCCCTATGTAGTAGCCTATCAGACTACCAGTCTCAGCAGCTGATAACCCATTTGATCCTTGCAATATCCCAACGTGCAAATGGAAAGTTATTTGGGCCCATCTGGGGATTCTCCTCTTCACCATATACCTGGAAGTCACTCACACACAGGTGGCTTCCAGCCCAAGTCCTCCACCAGCTCAGCGTTGCCATTCCAGGCTTCTGCACCTGTGGGATGTGAGCCCAGGTAACCAGCAGGATCTGCTCAGGGGTTGCTAAAAGGGTCCTACCTGGGGCCCAACCAAGCACTGCATTGGAGAGAGAAATGCAGTGATGTGGAGCCATTTTTGGAGGATGCCGTGTGGACAGGAGAAGGAGGACTCACCAGGTCTGTAGAGGGAGCATGATCTTACCATCCCATCACATGCCCTCAATATTGCTGCAGCCCATTCTACTGCTCTGATGCTCTCCCTCTCCTTTTCTTATCCATTGACCATGGTAATTCTTCTGGACAGCACTTTTGTCTCCTGGCTTGTCTGTGGTAGGACCTCTTGGGGAACAGGGCCACATTGCTTGTGTGTTGATGTCCATTTTCTTGATATAGCCCAGTGGAGTTGGGTGATGCTGCAGTTACTCAGAGCACTGCTTTTGCAGATGAAGGTGGCTGAATCCATCCAGCCCACTTGCTGGGAAGAGGAGACCTATGTGTTCCTCACTTCATGTGGGCAGATGAACAGCTTTCACACCTGAACTGTATCAGGACAGCATCAAGCTCAGCTAGAGCTCCAGACTGGCCACCTCTCACCTCCTCCCTCCTATGGCTTTGTCATCCTGGGCCTGAATGACTGATGAGTGCTTTCACTCAAAGCAACTAGGAAATATGCACAGGTTGTTTGTCATCCACAGGCTGCAGGGAACAGGTCAAAGGGTGAGTGGGAACAGCAGGGCTGCCAGCCAAGCTGACACAGTTTACCAGGATGTTTCTCCTGCTATAAATTGCCGTCAGCTTCACCAGACTCAGCTCCAGCAGAGCAGGAGGGAGAGGATTTGGATTTTTACCTGCACCAAGCTCTCCATCAGGTGCAGGTGTGAGAGGAGCATAAAAGAAGCAGGCAGGAGAAGCTGGTGTCAGGCATCCCAGACCAGCATGGCATCTCTACTGGACAACATAGCCAGACCTTCTGCTGTTGTTCTGCAGCTGTCTGTGGTGCTTGGCGTAATCTTTGTGCTGCTAAAGGTGGTTCAGTTCTACCGGGAGAGGAGGAAACTCGTCAAAGCTCTGGAGGCATTCCCTGGTCCCCCGAAACATTGGCTCTATGGCCACAATCACATGGTAAGGAGGAAGTTGGGCTCGGTCAGGCTGGGTTGGTCCCAAAAACTGTGCAAGATCTCAGTCAGGATGAGAAGCAGCACTGGGTGGGGTGTCCATCCCCTGCTTGTGTCCCTTCCCACAGGAGAGACCTCTGTACAGGGAGTGCTAAGGTTTCTGCAGGGCATGAAGAAAGGTGCCTGGATATGAGATGTGCATCGTTTGGTAGAAAACAGAGATGTGTTCTTTTTGATAATTCAATTCTCAAGAGAGGATGTTTTCATGAGAGTGTAAATTTAACCTCTGCTCTCCCTGGCATGTCCCTCTATTTTTCTGCCTTTATTCAGACACTGCTTAACTCTCATTGCAGATATATACTGAAAAACGTTTACATCAGATAGTGTCATGGGGAGAAGAATACCCTTATGCCTTTCCCAGATGGTTTGGACCAGTCCTGCCTTCTCTAGAAATACACCATCCTGAATATGCTAAAAGCATACTTGGCCGTACAGGTAAGTCTCTATATCTGATTTTGGGATGTCCTTGACACTTTCCTACCAAGAAAATCATGGGAAACATGCCTGGAGTCATCTGCTCTGCCAGCTTCCTTCATAGCTATAGCAATTCCTCTTTTGCTTCCCTTCACAAACTCCCAGCCTGCCCAGGTTTCACAGAACAGTTTGTATTGTACAGCGACCTGGTAACTGTTCCTTCCATTTCCCTGTCTCCATTATCTTTTGTATTATTGTCTTCTATGGCATCTACCACCACAATGTTTGTTTTTCCCAGTAAACCCAGTAATATGGGTGAGCTGGCATGGCAATGGCTCTCAGAAGACATCTTAAGTTTTCTCCTCTGCTCCCTTCCATGGAGCATCATGCCTATGAATGGTACACACATGGACATCTCCAGTAAATTCCATCCATTGTTCTCAAATTTGGGATTTGCCATGGCCATTTATTTTCCACACATACTTTTTGTTCTACCTTTCTCTGTTTTTTCAAGTCCATTGAGGTCATACTTGTAGACAACCACTTTTAAACTCTAGTTCTAGTGGTAGAATATTTTACATGTTGAAATGACATTAACTCTCCATTGTGATTTGGAGTATGAACTCTAATGCAAATTTGTCTTGAATTCTCTTTTTTTGTTATATTGATTTAATTAGTCATTCATACATTTCTGATGTCTGTTTTGTTTTACAGATCCCAAGGCCAAGGTACCCTATGAACTCGTAGTTCCCTGGATTGGTAAGTCAAAAGCAGCAGTAAGGCTGTCAGAGATGTGATCAGAGCCTGGAGGAGCCGATTGCATCTTTGCTGTTTGTGTTTCCAGGGAAGGGGCTGTTGACCTCGGATGGAGCCAAATGGTTCCAGCATCGGAAGATGCTCACCCCAGCCTTTCACTATGATGTGCTGAAACCTTATGTGACGCTGATGTCAGACTCAGTCAAAGTGATGCTGGTAAGAATCCCCTCTCCTGCTACTTTTACCTTTCAGCTGTGCAGAGGTGAAAATAATCAGATCTGGGAATGAGTGAGAGAAAGAGGCTACACAGATTCTAGAGTTTCACTGAACTTTTTGGGGCAGTTTTGAAGTTTTGAAATTGCTCCCCTCACCTTCCTTTGGACATTTCACTCATTATTTCTTTTTTATTCCCCAAATAAACTTAACCACTGCTAGAATATCCTTTCCTATCCCAGAAGTTGTAAACCTGGAAAAAGAAATGAACAGAGGAGCTTGATTAGATTCACAGAATATATCATGAACTAGGGCCTCTGCTTGCTGAAAAGAAAGCAATTAGCAGTGTGGATCTGGGAAGAGGGATAGGAAAATAGATGGTAGTCTGTCTCTCCTTACCTCTGTCTCCACCTCTAGGATAAATGGGACAAGAAGAGCATAGAGAGGAAGTCAGTGGAACTCTTTCAGGACATCAGCTTGATGACACTAGACAGCCTCATGAAATGTGCCTTTAGTTTTGATTCCAACTGTCAGACTCAGAGGTCAGTGCCTGAACTTTCAAATCATTGGAAAGCAAGTGCTCCTGTTTCCCCACTCATGTTGCTAACACCAGCTTTAACTTTGGCCTCCTTACAGCGAAACACACTATTATATTAAAGCTATTTATGACCTGACCTACCTCCTGACCGATAGAGTGCAGAACTTTTCCTTCAAGGATGTCTTCTACAACTTTACTCGCAAAGGCCGTGAGTTCCAGAAAGCCTGCAAGCTGTCCCATACCCACACAGGTACTTCCCTCCCTTTCTCCCCAGTCTCCCAGCTGAACCTCTCCCCCACTTACAGCTGGAGTGGCTCAGAGAGGGGTTGCAGCATGCACTGGTGAGAGGGTTACACATTAAACAGAGTCCATGCTGCTGACCATGACTTGGTCACGAGTGGTCAAGTACGTGAGGTCTCTGGACGGACAGGACACATCTAACTGATCAGTCTTCTGTGCAGATCAGGTAATAAAAGACAGAAAGTTGTTGCTGTCCAATGAGAAGGAACTTGACAAGATCCAGAAGAAGAGGCACCTGGATTTTCTCGACATTCTTCTTTGTAGCAAGGTGAATGTTTGAAATAATTGTTATCTAATGCTAAAGAACACAGCTTCATGGCACCAAGGATGCACCAGCAGGGAGATCACCACCCCTGGCTGGAGTTGCCGGCAACAGCTTGCCCACTCCGTCTTTCCTAGCTCAGGGATAGGTGGACTGAAAGGGAAGGAAGTACAAATGTTTGGGAGGCAGAGACTGAACAAAAATACCTTGGGCAGACTTTCATCTTTCTTGATCATTTCCATTGAGCACACTAATAGTTTAAAAGAAGTGAACTCTCAGAAACCAGAGAAAAATGAGGTCTTTGGAAAGGTTACAAGGGGTCACCTTGTCTGTGATCCTCTCAAGAGATTTTTTTTCTTACCTTTTGTAGTTTTACCTTCACAGACATCTTCAGATACTCACAAGAGGAGCTGCTATTTGGTGTTCAGGAAGGAGTTACACTCTGTGCTCACTCTATCTTTCTGGAGACGCTGCTTTCTTTTGTGTCCCCATCTGAAACAAAAGTTGTCCAAATCAAACTACTGAAAAATGTAGCAGGGACCATTGGTAGGGGATCAAACAGGGTGTGATGGGCTAGGAATTGGTATCCCACCAACACCCAACTCTATAGGTGTGTTGGCTACAGAAATGGCAATCAGCAGGTCTGACTGTTCTCACATATATCTGATATATTTTCTGCTGTCTTCCTGATATACAGGGAGACACAAGAGACACCAAATAAGGCCTTTCTTTATCATCATCCAGGGTTATATTTATATCTAAAGGAAAAGGTCCTTTGGGTATAAAAACAAAAGTCCTGGGTACTTCAGAATGATATGCTCTCCTCTTTGCTAGGATGCAAATGGAGTTGGACTATCTGATGAGGACCTGCGTGCTGAAGTGGACACATTCATGTTTGAGGGTCATGATACCACAGCCAGTGGGATCTCCTGGCTCTTCTACTGCATGTCATTACATCCACATTACCAGCAACGGTGCAGGGAGGAGATCCAGGGGATCTTGGGAGACCGAGATACCGTTGAGTGGTGAGCTAGGACTTCTTATTCCGTTACCTTGAACTCCTGTAAGGCCTTTGACATGGTCCTCCACAATATTCTTCTCTCTGTATTGGAGAGATATATATGTGATGGGCGTACTGTTCAGTGGATGAGGAATTGGTTGAAAGGTGACATCCAGAGGGTAGTGGTCAATAGCTCAATGTCCAGATAGAGATCAATGGCCAGCAGTGTCCCTCAGGGGTCTATACTGGGACCAGTACAGTTTAATATCTTCATCTGTGACACAGACAAAGGGATCAAACACACACTCAGCAAGTTTACTTTCAGGGAGGACCTTGGGAAGATGACCTACACCACAATGTGCATCAAAGAGAGCTTGCGCCTGTTCCCGCCAGTTCCTGCTGTGTCCCGACAGCTCTCTAAACCCATCACATTTCCTGATGGACGCAGCTTGCCAGCAGGTCTGTTGGGTTTGTTCATCCTTCATGCTGCTGTCTGTGACAAGTGTGACATCCTCACTAGTGTTGCTGTGTGGAGAGGCTGGTGGGGCTTCCATCCTCTCACCTCTCTCTGAAGGGCTGTACAGGGCTACCACAGCTTGCCAGCACAGTGAGCCTGGAAGGGTGGCTGGACAGAGTCCAAGGACATGTTCTATGGCACTAGGGTGTTCACAGGGCTCATAGGGGACTTGCAGAGAGTTGTTCCTGACCAAGAGTAAAAGTTCATCCACTGATAGAAAAATGGGGCCCAGCTCTGAGGCTGTTGTTTCTTCCATGTGAGGGTTTCAGGTGACCTGCCTGGACAGGCTGGGCACCATCCCTGCCAGATCTCCTGCAACAGCCCATGCAGAGACCAGGGAGGAAAACCATCCCAGAAACACCTCTCCTGCATCTTCATTCTGAGCTGTCATGAGATTTTTCTCACTTTTGTTTTACAGGCTGCAAGATTGGACTGAACATATTTGGTATTCACAGGAACCGGGATGTGTGGGAGGACCCCGAGGTATTTCACCTTTATCACAAGAAAGGGAAGATGATCTCTGAGCCCAGAAATCCACTCTCCTTGAACAAGACAGGCTGTGCCTCCCTGCCATGTTTTTCCCTTTTGTTCCAACAGTCCATATTTAAATGAAAAGTTCAATGAAGTTACCAAACACCCCAAAGGCTTTGAATGTGCCAAAGTGCTCGGAAAGGGTGTTGAATAGTCTGTCTTTGTGCATGGTGACACAGAGATACTCAGATTGCTTCAGCTGCCTCAGACAGACTTAGGTCCCAGAGTGGTATGAGAAGTCCCAAGCCCTCTAGACAATGTGTGATTTGAAGCTAATATTTTAGAGGGTTCAAGGAAAGAAATAGCTGGAAAACTTGCAGGAAGGTGTGCAGCTGCCTCTCTCCAGTGTCTGTCTGGAGAGCAAGGATCAGGCATCTCTGGAATAGAGGGTGTCTGACTTGACCATTGCTGCCATGGATGAAAAAACACCTGCAGGCATCTTGGGCATTGTAGTGGGTAACCTGGATGTCCCCAAGAGGAAGATCCACTCAGCAGATTTGCAGAGAGATGCCTCTCATCTGCAGCTTCCCCAGGAAGAGCAGAGACCACATCCACTTCTAACTTGGGGACCAGGGAATAACCTGGTGCTACCCATATCAGGGCAAACACTGACTAAATGGTCTTTGTTGCTCCCACAGATATATGATCCCTCGAGGTTTTCTCCAGAGAACACAGCACAGAGGCACTCCCATGCTTTCCTGCCTTTCTCTGCTGGATCCAGGTGGGACATCCTTCATACTTCTCCTTCCCATTAGATTGCCTTGTATGGGAGATCTAGCTCAGAGCCAATCTCCTGAAGCTAATCCTCCCTCAGCCTCCATAAGCTGAGTTGTCTTGGCCAACTCAGGTTTTCCATAACAGAATCTCCTATTACAGAATCTTCTGTAACAGGATTTCCAAGCTCCATCAACTCTAGAGCATTTCCCACACCCCAAGCTTTGTGGTCACTGTTGGCTTTCACACACTTGTGGCTTTTGGAGATGTTTATGTTTTCTTTGCCAGCATTGGGAACACAGGCTCCCTTGTTTAGGGGTGAACCCCAGTGCACCTCAAAGCCAAGATGGGTCCAAGTGTCTGTGGTTCCCATGCAAGATATGCAGTTGTTCAGATGCAAGACATTGAGGTCTCAGTAATTTGCAAGACGATTTCCACATAGAGACAGAAATAACTTTTCTGAGATGTCTGGCCTTTTAGCTGGATCCAGGCAGCACTTTCTAGTGAACTAAGCCCTGGTTCTCTCAACAACATATCTTTTTCCAATGCATATTCATGAAAAATATCCATAACCCACCACAGAGCTGGGTGCATTTTGGTGTGGCATCAGGCGATCCCTAGATAAGCTGTGGTGCCATAGTCACAGCAGCTGGAGATCCCCTAACTAGGACATGGGCTGAGCCCAGCTTGGGGGTGGTTGGGGATGAAGGCAGCAATTGGAGTATTTGTCATCCTCTCCACAGGAACTGCATTGGGCAGCAGTTCGCCATGAACGAGATAAAAGTGGCGCTGGCCCTGACCTTGCTCCGCTTTGAGCTCTGCCCAGACCCATCTAGGCTTCCCATAATGATACCACAGGTCACACTCCGGTCCAGCAATGGGATCCACCTGCATTTGAAGAAGATTCGCTGATCCCATGGGGTACCACAGCAGAGGGAGAAGTGCTCTCCCAGGGGTCATCCTACACCCAGAGGTTTAAGAGAAGGACATCAAACAGACCCACACTGGCCACACTGGTCCTCTCCCACATTAATCCCCACCCCACTGCTGTTCAGGGGGGCATGCTGAGCCCCCTTGAACAAACTCCAAACCCAGCAGGTCCAGGTGCCCTCCTTGCACAGAGAGCAGCACTGCTACAGGGGTTCCAAAGTACAGCTCCGGTTCAACCTTAACCTCAACAGTCATCCTCCGTGTCCTACTCACCTCCAACCTGTCCCCACACATTGCCACACACCTGTGGATTTGCCACATTGTTGGTCCCCTGCTCAGGCTTGGCAATGAACAATGCTGGCATGGTTTTCAAGGATGTCTAAAGCCTGGGCACCACCCCAGCAAAGCATCTCTCCCCTGCCTCCAGCCGGGGTGTGCCAGGCAGCCTCACTGCATCCCTCTGAATTATTCCTGTCCTGGGGCTGGCACTGTGCCCACCATTATGGAGATGAAGGCCTGTGGGTTTTTGCTGCCCTGGCACTGAACTTCCTTGAGCTGAGGGTGCTCAGCAGCCAACACAGAGACATGCCACCAGCTAACCTAGAGAAATCACTCACCACGCTGCAAACAGCATGTGATCAGCCTTGATCCCTTCTCTGAAACAAGAATAAAGCCTTCTGTGAGAACTCACCAAGCATGGCTTTGGCTTCCTTTGTGTTTGAGGGGCCAGAGGGGTACAGGAGGAGCCTCAGCAGCACAGAGGCAATGGTGTGCCCAAGGGCACAGCCTTGTGAGAGTTTTCTCAAGACACAAGCACTGTTTCTGTGGGTGGGTTTGCCCCCTGTTGAGTCTGAGGAGCCTGTTTCCACTCCTCCCAAACCAAGCCATCACCTCTGACTCCAGGAGTGTCCATGGCAAGGAGAACAACTGAAATGATACGTGGTCAAACAAAGCAAAACAGAAATACACACCACATACACAAAAATGCTGCTGGCAAGAACAAAATCGGCTTGCAAAATAAAGCAAGTCCCAATAGGAAGCATGAGTCTGTGTCAAAACCTTTTCTGCAGACGCCGAGAACTAACCACTCAGTACATGAGTGAGCTGTCCAGAGGATGCGGGTGAGCACTGGCCCTGTAATCATTTGTTTTGGAGGTACAGGGAGCCTTTCCTCAGCCCCGGCCAAGGTGAAGCACCTGAGTGAGCTGCAGGTCCGGGGTGTGAAATGGATCACTAGGTGGCAGTGGGAGACCCAGAAAAAGTCCTCCCTGGTCCCTGGTAAAACTCCCCGGACTTGGCAGGGAGCACGGCTAGGCCCAGCAGGGCAGCTGAGGTGCCCTATCCTTGGGGACATCCCCATCCCCACCTTCAGCAGTGCGGGGCAGCAGGGCAGGCACTGGTCTGTCACAGTCCCCAGCATGATGGTGGTATTACCCAGAGCCCAGGGAAGATTTGTCACTGCAAGTGCCTGGACACTCAGAAGGCACCAGGAGAAACTGAGGCATGGAGGGCTGCACTCATGCCATGCCATGGTGACAGATAAGGCTGTTTGTCCAGCTCTCACCCACAGCAAGGACATCACCAGCATCACTGCAGGCATGTCTGTCTGGGCAGCTCACCTCTGCTGCTGAGCAGAAGTCTCCTAGCCAGAGCAGGAGAGCCAAATGTGAGCATATCCCCATCTGACTAAACCCCTGCGGAACCCTTCACCCCATCTCTGTTGCCTGCTGCATGCTCAGTTTGAGAAACAAAACTTTCCACAGGCTGGATCCAGACTTTTGTTCTGGCTGTCACGGTGTCTAACAGGACCAGCAAGGTGCAGCTTGTATTTATTTTGGAAGGCAGCTGGAGACCAAGTTTCTCTTCTCCCAACCCTCCCCTTCTGACCCCCAGAAAAGACTGAATGCAGGTTGTGTAGGTGCCAATGCCACCACCCTTACACTGCTGGTAGACTCAGGCTGGTCTTACAGGTAGACTCCAGCTTTCCTCTTCCCCAGCTCCAGGTTGTTGGAGGGCAGCAGTTTGATACATCTTTTCATTACTGTAAAGCTTTATTTGCCAGACATTTCAGTCACCCATCTGGGTCAAGCAAGCCACCTTGCAGCTCTGCTCATCCACACTCCAGTTTGTCGTCCAAGCAGCAAGCTTGGAGAGCAATTGACTACAAAGACCCAACCCAGTCTCCTTGGTTGTGGGGTGCAATGGAAACTAGGTAGCACATAAAGGTGTTGCTACAGCATCTTCTGGCTTGGGCATGGGGGAATAAGGCCAAAGCAGGACAAGTTAGATTTGAAGAGGACCCACAGCTGCTGCCCACCTCTGTGTCTGTACAGGGCCCTGTGTTTTGAGGCCTGTTCTCTGCCATGACCAAGGCAGCTCATTTGGATTCCAAGCATCCTCCTGGCTGATAGGAATAGCCAAACACCAAATGCTTCTAGTAGAGACCTTCCTCAAAGCAACTGCTCTGAGAAATCTGCTTGGTAAAGAGAGGAGAAACTGCTGTCATTTTTTATAGAAAAACAAAAATGCAGTGTTAATCAAGGCAGTTATGACAGTAATTGAGGTAACTTGAACCAAACACTTTAAAATCTCTTCCTGTCAGGATTCCTGCTTAACCCAGGTTTGCAGTTTGAAAGACCAAAGCTTTCGAGGGAAGGTCTTGAAGCAGAAACCAGGAGAAAATTCTTCCATTTTTCAGCTTATCCAGGTCAAACCAAGCAACCCAAACAGCTCTCCACCTTCAAACACTGGCAGTTTCTGGACAGCAGCTTGTACAAGATAACCTCCTCTGCCAAGTCACCACCGAACGGCTTTGAGAGCAGAAAAAGCAGTGCGAGGAGCTGGGCAGCAGCCAGTGACACAGATCTAATCACCCGAGCATTTGCCCCAAATGTCTCCCTGCCAGGCGGTGACATTTCTGTGCTGTCTCAGCTCGCTCCTCCATCACCATGGCTACTACAGCAGCCGCCAATCCACAAGCGAGTCCTTCCAGGGTACCAGCAAACCCTCTGGGGGATGCTATGAGAGCCAGCCCCTTTGGCAGGGAGACACTTCGGGGACCCCGGGACAGCCCATAGCACCAAAAATTCCCCTCTTTCTTCTTTGCCTTCTCCATTTCTGTGCTGTCTCAGCTCGCTCCTCCATCACCATGGCTACTACAGCAGCCGCCAATCCACAAGCGAGTCCTTCCAGGGTACCAGCAAACCCTCTGGGGGATGCTATGAGAGCCAGCCCCTTTGGCAGGGAGACACTTCGGGGACCCCGGGACAGCCCATAGCACCAAAAATTCCCCTCTTTCTTCTTTGCCTTCTCCTTTTTATTTTCCTTTTTTTTTTTTTTTTTCAAACACAAACAATGGAGCTAAAAGGTTGGGTATCAGGCCGATAATCATGAATGACGTGTCGTTATTACACACCACACATTCATTATCTCCCACTCCAGCCATGTCACAGGCGGCTGGAGGAGGGCAGATAACGGGGGGCCTTCATGCAGATGGCTTATTATCAGGATGTTCCAGGAGGGGCTTTAAGACAGTTAGTGATGCTGTTTGCCAGTTAAAGATTAGAGACCCCAGAGAATAATTAACAATCCCAAAACCCAGTTTTTCTGCTGGATTCTTCAGCTTTCTCTCCCCTCCCCTGTCCTCTTTAATCTATTCACTCTAGCAGGTGTAATAAAGTGATAAGGACAGGCTCCGGGGATGTTTGTTTGGCTACTACGGGTGTATAAACCAACAATGGATGGTATTTTACTTCTGGCTTTCAGTGGCTTGAATCAAGACCAAAAACTTTGCAGTCCCCTTGCCCACACACAGCCATCCCTCAATGCCGTGCTCCCAGCTCCCACCTGGGTGGCTGGGCTTCTTCCCCACCTGAAGGACCACAACACTGGGTTGGGGTCCCTTTTTGCTCCCAGAGGTCCAAATTACATCTCTTGGGAGTCAAGGCACCCAATGCCGGAACATAAATCCCAGGCTACACTGCTCAGGCCCAGGGCTAGAGCTAGTAGCACTTCCAGCAGTGATTTACCTGCGTATAGCAAGTCTTTAAACTACTTTGGAATAATTTATACAGCAGCTGTCCACCTGACCAAGCTGCTCCAGGGTTGTGGTTACAGGTGGAACAGAAGCATATTAAACCCTCACAGCTAAAGAGCCTCAGGAGAGATCAGGGAGGCATCGGTGTAAAGGTGGCTTTCAACAAGATGCCCCGTTATCTGGGGATTCAAGAGATGAGTTGCACCCTCCTAGGTCACAAAGAAAAGCTGTGATACATCTTATAACAAGGTGGTAATTAAAAAACCCCTACCTGAATATCTTCTGCCCAAAAGGAAACTATCCTGTCTGCAGCAGAATCCAGCCCTGGACATCATCCTGATGCCTAAGCCTCAGAGAAAATGGCATTAGCGAGTGAGGGGCAGGATGGAGCACCCATGGTGTCCTTCCCCTTCACCAGTGGGCATGGGGTGACTTGTAAAGGGCACAGTCAACCCCCCATGCTTCTTGGAAAGAGGTATTTGGGAGGATTTGTCCCCTAGGCAAGTTGGCTCAGTACCCTTTAGAGAGGTTACGGAGGCTGTGGGAAGTACCTATCACCTTGGGGCTATCAGGGACAGCCCCAACTCTAGAAGGCATTCCCCAGCTCACAGGGTTGGTGCAGAAGGCACGAGCACTGGCATGCCAGAAGTTGTCTTCCCAATCACGCTCATCCTGCCAGGGAGGGATGAGACAGCATTGTGCTTTAAAGAGCATCCCGACCCTATCAGCAAGAGATGAGATATCCTAATTATGGCAGTACAGGCGAGGATCCGGGCCGTATCAGACAGTACAGAAAGGTAAACAAGAAATATAACAATGGACCCTTAACACTCATTAGCTGTGTCAGATAATACCTCACTTTTCTCCCTTTGGGGCTTAAAATCTAATTAAGATTTTCCAACAATAAATTTCATTTATGCTCGCTCCCTTTTGTTCTTTTTAGGATCACACCGAGAAGCATCTGTGAGCTGGCTGAGCAGCTTGTGAGAAGGCAACTTTGCACAGTCAGGCTCGGCTTGTGCTCCACAGACAAGGGAAACTGAGGCAGAACAGCACCATGGACTGTGCAGAGATCCCAATAGGGAGGTAACACTGGCACTTGCATAAGATATTTTCCTCAGGAAAGTGAACTCTGAAGGGACACTGGCTGTGATAAGACTAAGTGCTGAGGTATCTGGGCTACCCAAAATGTCCAGCAGTGAAGCCCTATCCTACCTTGCATGGACCTACAGTCGTGGTAGGATCCGTGGGGAAAGGGACACTGAGACCCACTGAGCTCCCAGCACACCTCCATTCCAAGCCCTCATTCAGGCACTGCTGGGGGAACAGCCTGGGGATCCGTCACATATTCAGGGTGTACACAGGGCAGGGAATAAACTCCCACTGTTACTCATTATAAGGATGTCACCTTTTGCAACCGAGAGGTAAAAAATTAATGGGTTCCCCTCCTCTTGCCACACCCCCAGTCTGACTGCTGACACAGCAGGAACACGCAATGACTAATCCTTAAACCCTGCTGAGCGCAGCAGTACCACTGAGCTCTGGGAAGCTTGTTTTTTCCAAACCCATGTGACATTTGGCACCCGTGAGAGAAAAGTCAGGGGAGCAGTATCCATTAGGGGCACAAGTGGGAAGGTCCAGAACCCAACCTGGGGCTGGCTCAGCCTCCAGCTGAGCCTCCAAAGGAAGGTGGTAGAAGGGAACAGCTCTGACATGATGCTGGGGATGCAGCCATCATGCCTCCACATCTGAGGGCTTGACCCCTCCAACCCTTCTGCCTGTTTTTTTCTACTCCCATGCAATTTCTCAACACCAAGTCGTTGAGGGCATTTTCAAAATACTCACCTACCTGAGGCTCTAGGGAAAATGCCTTTCAAGGTGGGTCTGTTACTGAATTTTTGTGCCATCACCTGCTAGGACGTCAACAGCTTCACCTGCAGGAAGTGCATAGTAGAAGCCCTAAAACCACTCTGCTCCTAGGGGCTGCCAAAAATACTCCTCTTATAAACCTCCCATCTCTCCCAGTCCTGGTCCACCTGGGATGCCCTTGATTGCAGAGACCCTTAACCCTTTCCTCACTGGTCAAGGGGAGGACCCTGCATGCCACATGAGTAACTCATGTTTCAGGGATGGCCAAGGCATGAGAGGTCTCTCATTTCAATCTACAAACATCATGGCTTAGAAGTACTTATTGTTCCCATGGTGGCCCTGGCACTGTCCCCACCACAGCAAAAACCAGACCCTGGTAAATGGGAGAGCCAGCACTGCCTGGAGCAGCCCCCAGACACTTCCTGACAGCAATGAAAAATGATTGCCATTCATAACCTCCATCTGGGAATGGCCCCCAGCTGGCTGTAGATCTGCACGCTGTAGTCAGTGGGACCAGGGAGTGCTGCATTTCACCCATTAAGCAGCACTGAGAGGTGTAGGATTGGTGCCATGCCTCAGTTTGCCCATCTGATAGATGGAGGGGATTGATGCTCACCTCCCTATATGGCCCTTTGCAGCTCTGGGGTGGTCCAAATGCTGAGCATTCCCTGGTGTCCTTCATTTTCCTAACTGCCTAAAGGCTGGGATAGCTGTGAGATGCCAGAAAGTCCTTTGGGTGATTAGCAAAACGACTCTCTTTGCTTTCATAGGGGTAACGATTCTCTTTATTGCTCACAGGGAAGATATGTACAGGGGAGGTTTGTTCCAACATTAAAATGCATGGTGTAGGTTGTAAAAAGGAGGGTGAACTGGGGAGAAGGAGCAGGTTTTCCATCAGCAACTCCCTGTAGGACAACGGCTGGGGGTGCAGGGAGGTCCCAGGCACCCAGTGGGAACCCCTCTGTGTCTTGAGCAGGTTAACACCCTTCTGGGACTTGGGACACCAACCTTGCCAACCATGTGTGGTGACCATGTGTGGTGACCACCAGGCAGGAGAGGTGGCACCTCCAGACCTCTCCTGGAGACTGATGCCTGTGTGGACACCAGCCCCCAAGGCAGAAAAACGTGTCCCACAGGTGGGAAAGGAAAAGATGAGGAGATGGTGGTGCCATGGAGAGGTCAAGGACCCACCATATGCAGTGGGTGCCAGTGCAGATGGTCTCTGTGAAAATGCCCGTCGCGATAGTGGGAAGCGAATTGAGAGGAGGAAGGAGGACGACTGGTCAGGGTGCCTGCTACATGGCGGTGGTGATCACCTTCTCCTCGGGCTCCACAGTGTTCTCATAGGCATGCTGGTTCTCTTTGGACCTGCATCGGGATGGAGAAGCACAATGCTCAGCTCACCCTCAGCAAGAACAGCCTCCCCAAAGCCACATCTGGGATCCTGACCTTGCTGGTGCCAGTCATGCATGGAACAAGGAGTGAGGTGGGGAAGACAGAAGGGGTCACCCTGCCAGGAGGGGAGCCAAGTGCTGGCTGGGCATTGCTCTAATTTTTAGCAAGGGCTGTTTTGACAGTTAACATCTGTGTGATGACCTGTGGCCACTTTTGGTGTTTTTTTCTGTTGGAAAGGTGTGATGTAGCATAAGAAAAATGTGGTGCAGCAGGTTGTAAGGTGGTAGATGGACCATGGGGCTCAACTGCAGGATGGGGAAAGGCTGGGGAGGAGGGGATACTCCCTGTCCTTGCCTTTTGCTTAGTCCTTGGAGGATAAAAGTCTCCAAATCCATGTGCATAGGACATATGAGGCCCCAAGTGGGAGAGACCATGGCTCTGCATGTCTGAGCTGTCCCCAGAGAGACAGAACAGAGCCCATGAGCAATGGGGAGGAGGTCTGAGCAAGTCCTTCACCTGAAGTCAGCTGCAGCTGATACATGTCTCGGTTCACGGCCATTGGACGTGACAGCATCCAGCTTGTCCTCAACACTCACCACTGTCTCGACATTTTCCCTGGAGAGGCAGAAGAGAGGAGCTGAGAGGGCAACAAAGGAGCTGAGCTGCGGAGCAGCCTCTCAATGATGATGGCAGAGAGGAAGGGACACTACAGAGATAATAGGGGACCTGGATGTATTCCTGACCTCAGATACCCAGCTCAGCCCACTTCCCAGCAGAACAAGGGTGAGGAGAAACACCCACACTGCAAGTTTGCAGGGGCTATGCCCAGACACCAAGTGCCAGCCAACCCCTGCCTCTGGAGCTGGGACTCCCAGCGCCACACACAGACAGCAAGACTCATTGTCAACATGTGGGATTGTTTTCTCCCACTGACTGGTTTTTCCAGTCTACTTCTATGTAATCTGTTGCAAAATAGTCCCTTATGGATCCTGACTGACACGGAGAGAACCATCAAAGGCTCTGCTGATGCTGCTGCCCCAGCACAGGAAGGCTGTACGTGTGCACATCCATGTGAGTTAAGTCGAGCTGCTTTCCCCCAGATGCAAGTCTGGGTCACTTGCAGAAGGAACCATTGGGCATCGACGGGGTGTTTGACCTCAACCAGCTCTGGATCAAGCCTGTATCCTGAACGGTGCTGGGGGAGGTTAGCTGTGGAGGGTGAGTGCAGGTGCAATCTGCATGCACATCCCTCCTCTTCCAGTCTACACCCGAGGGCAATTTCAGAGGCTTCTCCAAGTAACAGACTGGCATAAATAGGCAGTGGCTTGAGCTGATAGCTGCTGTCAGAGTGACAGCCTGGAGCTGGCAGTGTGCCAGGCTGCCAAGCCTCACTGCCCACTCTTCTGAAGAGGGGCTAGATTAATTAAAACAAGCTGCCTTCCCCCCTCAAGCCCTCCACAGCATCCTCTGCCTCTGGGCTGGAAAGAGGCAGCCAGGCACAGACAGTGGTGGGAAACACCATCCCTGCCTCCCACTCCCATTGAAGGGAGGTTCCTTCAATTTGAGGACAAAGGTTCCTCTTTGGGAAACAAGGATTACAGCAGCAAATCAGACCATACAAATATATGTATACACACATTGAATTATACATTGGCCCTGAATGCATCCCAAAGGGATACCATTTAAATACATTTGCGGCTGAAGCCAATCTGCTGAGCGTCAGGGTATATCCTAGGTCCCCACCTCCTCAGCCTGGAGAGGCTGCAGGGATGCACAGGGACAAGAAGACACCAGCACCTTTGAGTGCAAAGCCCAAAGGGACGGTGCCAGTGTAGAGGAACTAGGAAACAGGCTACAGGGTGCTTTTTGTCTTCATCTCTTGTTGACTTTGGGCTCAGATTCAAGATCAGGTTACTGCAGCTTAGCCAGTTAGCCTTATTTGTCTGATCAGGAGCCACAGCCTGTAGCTTTGCTCAACCAGCAGAGGACAAGAGGTAACCCATCCCACAGAGCCTTTTTCTGATGAATAAGGCCACCTTGTTTGCCTGTGCCATGGGCTTCATGTAGAGTGCTGCCATGACTTGGCTACCTTCCTCTTCTCCCAGCTCCTCTCAGTGCATTTTGACAACTTGGCTCTCTCTGCTTTGCAAGCAAAGCTGGTTGGGACTTATTATCCCGTGGATAGGAGGCACATGGGAACTGCACCCCCAAAACCATAGAAAAGCAGGCTCAGGCTACCACTCTGAACATGTGCCCATGTAAACCAGCCACGATGCTGTGGCTCTCTGGGTCCCAGCACAACACTTTCTCATGGCAGCATTTGTACCGTACAAGCTCACACCTGGCAATAAGTAACAGGGAGCAGAGACCAGGACAGGGGGAAGAGGATGGGGAAATGAGGACAGGGAGTCTTTGCTCTCCCTGCCCAGCTCCTGGCGTGGTGATCAGAGTGTTCTGATCACTGGCACAAGGACAGAGACTGCTGGAAGTGACACATGCCAAGACAGCTAAGCCCAACCTGATGCAATTTCCCACACTTACACTTTCTCCTTACACCAGAACCTGTTGACCACAAAAGCGATGGCCACCAGGACTAGAAACACAACCACTGCAATGACACCCTGTGACCATGGCTGGAGTGTGCCCCTGGCTGCAGGAAAAAAAAAAAGAGAACACATTAGAAATACATCCTCAGGCTTTTATCTGTCAAGCTTCTCCCATCCAGCTTCAGCAACATCCAGCCAAGAGCTTGGACCTGCAAACCAGAGCAGAAAATGTTGCCATCAATTCAGGGAGGCTTACCTGGGTGGCAGCAATGAAATAAAGTGCAAGTAACAGCAGTTCTGCTGGCATTTGCACGTGGAGTATGGTGCCTTGCAATTTTGGGACTCAGTATATATATATACACATACATATAGGTATGCTGTGAGGCACTGATGACTCTGTGATGGGGGAACAAAGGGCTAGGGGACATGGAGGAAGGGAGGGAAGGAGAATGTTTGCCAAGGGAAAGAAGGCAGAGGGGTTTCAGCAAACTATTTATTCTCTATGCCCAGATGCCACAGACATCATTCCTGGGTTATTTTACAAGTACTGACTGGTATAATAAGAACTCCATAACAGGGACAGGGTAAAATTTAGTTGTCGCTCTCAAAACAGAAAGTTGTCATTGTCGATTTTGGTAAAATGCACCATTCAACGACTTTCCAGAGGAGAAAACTGATTTTTGACAGGAAATTGAAGGCTGAAGCATTCAGAGCAACAACCTCAGCAAAAAGACCAGGCAGGGCTGGCAGGGGGCCAAGTGGCATTGAGGTGGCAGTGGGGGTTGGGAGCTGACAAGGGTATCCCCGTTTCCTCCAGGGGTGGGACAGACTCACAGGTTCATTTTTCTCTAGCAGAACCTAAGGAGAGATCCAGGCATGTGTGGGAAGGCTGCAAGAAGTATTCCTGGATGTGAGAAGCATTCCAGGTAGGATGATGAGAAGAGGAAACATTGTACCAGTCCTTGCTGGGGTGGCTGCTCCTTGCCTCCCACTGCCTTTCAGACAATGGAGCATTCAGACGTAGTCAAACTTATCCTTAAGTGCTGTAGAAAGACAACACCAAAGGACACCTTGTCCATGCAGCCACATTCCTTTCGGATTTAATTACTATTTATTCATACATGTCTTTTCCTCATCTGCTGATCAAAACACCAATCCATGCACATAAACAAGATCCCTCTGCATGGGCAGACAGAGTCTTCTACAAGCCAGCACCATCATCAGCCTCAGAATACTCAGACACAGACTTGGCCACTGGCACCTGCAAGGCTGAGCTGTCCCAGGATGAGCAATGGGTACTTCAGTCTCACTTGGGAACTTTACATTAACTGAGTACTTCATCTATGTCACAGGAGATAAAGCTCTGCTATAAACAGAAAATAATCTTTACTAGCAGCAATAAAAGTGGGCTGTGCGTCCACATATACAAACTCCTCATGCACAGCCAGCTTCACACTGGCTCTGCTGCTAACAGCTGTGCTCTCCTTCTTCTGATTTTGGGGAGAGGGACTATCCTTTGGTAAGACCTCTAGCTCCTTGACTCTTTACTGCAAGAGACTTTTATTTAAAATTTTTTAGGAAAAAACCACCAAAACCAGCCAAACCACAAAACAAAACTCTTTTTTCCTCTTGGAAGTGAAATCAGCCTGGCCAGCTGACTCACAAGCAGTGCCAGTGTGGAAAGTGGTGGCACTCCTGGGCAAGGGGCTGTGAGAGCAGCCCCTGTTTGGGACACTGTTTGTGTCTCTCAGCTTCTCCTCCCCACAGAGACACTTGCCATGTTTACTGCAAGGTCCCGGGGGCAAAACAAGAGCAGGAGGAATTTGTACGGAAATTTCCTCTTGTATCAGTGTGTTTTGACTGAAATATCATTGTATCAGCAGGCTACTGGTGGTGGTAGCAGGGGAGGTGGCAGGGGGGAAGAGCAGGGTTCGGTCCTGTCCTGCTCTACCTGGTGGGCAAGGATGCTCATGCCCCTACTGCCCACCACCCCCTTGGGTGCAGCCCCAAACACACCTATTGCCTCCTGGCTGAGCTTTGCCTCACTTTGCATCTTTCCTTGCTCTGCCCTTTGTATCAGCAGGCTACTGGTGGTGGTAGCAGGGGAGGTGGCAGGGGGGAAGAGCAGGGTTCGGTCCTGTCCTGCTCTACCTGGTGGGCAAGGATGCTCATGCCCCTACTGCCCACCACCCCCTTGGGTGCAGCCCCAAACACACCTATTGCCTCCTGGCTGAGCTTTGCCTCACTTTGCATCTTTCCTTGCTCTGCCCTTGGCTGTACATTTATTT